TCACATTTATTTTACGTCTCCGTCTTTACGGCAAACGTTTTGGAAAAAACCAGCGTTTCGTGTTAGTTTTGACTTCGTGTGGACGGGGCCTGAGTTTCATCCAGTTTTGCAGCTCTGCAGTCAGGGGTTCCTTTGTCTCAGTCTCACAGCAGGGGTCCCCTCAGTGTCACACCCATGGGCATCCAGTTTGGCTCTAAAGTTCTGAAACTCAAGAGAAATGTGTTGCAAAAGTTCTGTTTGCAGCAGTTGGGTTCTGCAAAGTTCTGACTTATCCTCGATGGTTCTGGGGATCTGGTTCCGCTGGGGCCCGCATCTCCACTGTGGGCCACAGTGGGCCCCAGCTTTGAGTGCAGGAGCAGAAGGGACCAGGAGAGAGGTGCTGGAGCAGAAGAGCAAAAGAAAAAGAATCCTGTGTGCTCTCTGGTTTTCTCTGTCCTCACAGGGAGGGGGGTAGTTTTTCACACCTCTGCCGGTTTCCATGTGACTGCTTTGGCTGAAAAAGGGGGTGCTGCTGAAGTCCCCCAGCTGTTATTCACCAAAGCTGCGTTTTCTTCTCTGGTCATCCTAGCAGGATAAAATATGGACACTGGTTCCCACTGTCCAAAAAGTATGATCATGGCATATGGCATAACAGTGTATTTCGTTTAAGTACATACTTTGTTTCATGTTGAGTTTATTATTTAGGAGAATTGTGCCTGTTTATTTGGAATTGTGCCTGTTTACACAAAGGCTTATGCACATTATTTCTTTGTTGCAGTTTTACCATTCATTCATCCATCCATCCATCCCAGCCAATAAATCCAAAGAAAAGGCTTACGGTGTGGTTATTGGAAATGATGGTTATCTACCTGCTAAGCTATTTTTTTGTCGTTATTGGTCACTAAAATGTTTTTAAGCTAAACATGTCCAGTATTAAAATTCAAAACCTTTATTCACAAATATTCACTGTTTTTTGGGAAGTGGAGCCAGCCAATCCTGTTCGCGTATGCAAATTAGCCATGTGCTTTTCCGCAGTTAATAACACGGGCAAGGGGAACAGATTGCATGAAGACAGCAGGTCTTCACTCCTGTTTGTGGACCTCAGCGGACCTCCTCTGGACAAATTCGACCCATTTCCATTCGTCAGAAGCTGGATTAAAGCAGGACATGTGCGTGGATGAAAGAGAGAGACAGACAGTCTTTGTGCATGTGTGTGTTTTCAGAGACTATTCAGGCTCTTGCCCGCTCCACCAGATTCACAGAAAGCTTCATCCACCAAGCTGTCAGGAAGCTGAGCCCCCCTCAAAAAAAAATAATCACTCCGGACAAACTGTCTCCTGCACTACTATTAATACTATATTTATTTACTGTTCTTTTGCACTGTTACAAATGCTATATCTTACATAATTGGTAATAATAATTTTTCTGCTGCCATTACCATCTGCCTTTTTGTACTAGCATAAGTATTGCATATTTTATATTATTGTACATTTTATATTTTATTGTGAAATTGAATGTTTAAATTTTAGTATTAGGAACTGATCTTATCTGTGCCTGTGCACTTTATCAGTTTCACTGTTGGTGAATAAGAAACGTCCTCTCGAGTCCTTCTATGTCTGGTGAATCTGAAGAATTGACATTAAAGCTGACTTTGAAATGTTGTAGGCCTACTGCATATTGAGAAAATTTAGATTGGTATTGCGCAACAATCGGGAGATGGGGACCCCCCCAAATATTGACAGGTATTTCGCACACTGGTTAAACCACTTCTTAAAAGCCGGGGGTGGTCTGCCTGCAACACATACCACCTTCTTCTCTTACATTCTTCTGCTTCTTGAAGTGTATTTTTCAGTTGGCGATAAACTGAAAGTGCGCATTACCGCCACCTACCGGTATGGAAATTGGTAAAGAAAAACGTATGAATTGAGGATTTGAGTCTGAGTTTGTCGTACCTGCTTTGTGAAACAGGACTTAAGTTTGAAGGTCTAAATATTCCTGGATTTAAAAAGAAGGGGGTCAGACATTTTGTGCCCAGGCGCCCTTGCTCTAGTAATTTGAGCCCACGTATTAGTACATCAAAAACAAATTCATATTTGTAAGCAAAACTTTCCCTGATAAATAGGGATCACCTCTTTCTGCTGCCACTGAGTGTGCAGGTGTCAAAACACAGCATTCAAGGGTGCACCTTAATGATAAAAATTTGGGGCCTATTTCAATATTTGCATCAGGGCCATCATTATTATTTCCCAAACTGTATGTTTTTCTCTATTGAGTTTTACGTTCAAACTGATTTGACGCCACACTGCACGAAAAGTGGGATTTTCGTCAATATGCGGCACTGTAGATTGTCGTGGAAGTTCAGGTTAAC